CCATTGGAAATATATTTTGTGACATAGTTATCACGACATCAGTGTTTTCCTGTGGAGACAGGGCCTAAGGAAGATTTTCCAAATTTGCTGAGGTTGCGGTTTTATCGGGAGTGTCGGGGAAGGATTTTGGTCCCGTCCCGCCCGCAAAATTTCACAGACCTTCCTGATACCGCCCATCCCGGCCAATTTGAAATCAGTACCGTGGGTCACGAGGGTCCCGACATCCCGCGCCCATCTCTAATATATATATAATAAGAGTGTGAAAAAATATGCGTACATAAGTATGTTTAAGAATTCGCAACGATGTCATTTATTGTCTGATTGACAAAAAAATAAAAGAATAATAAAATGATCAACAACGCATGCCTTCGTGAAGGAAGAAAAACAAAGGAAAATTAAATAAATATCTACATATGTATTTATTAGCGTTGGGGATGTTGGCCTTTTTTGCGCATCATGCTTTTCTCAACTGTCAGTTTTGTTGTTGGGGAACGTGAAAAAAATCATACCCGCTTTAACAAAAGAAACTCGTGCTTACTTACATACATACATATAAACATATGTATTTATACGGTAATATCCGATATTTTGTCTAGTCTTTGTAATCTTTTTCTCAACAATGTTTAAAAACCTGCCGTCTTTTACCAACAAATAAGAGTTGTCAAGTACTCGCTTAATGTATTTTATTTTATTAAATCTTCGTCGAGTTTTTTACCTTCACTTACTGCATACTAATTTTTGTATTGATTACTGTTGAAACAATCGTTTGCAGGCGATTAAGATTAGGTATGCCCAAAATGGTTGTTACGCTGAAGCGGTAGACTTCCCTGTATCAACGATTGTGCTGAAAAGACTGGGGCAGGAATTGGTCAAACTCATTTTCTTATTAGTGATGTGCGTTTATGCTCCTCGCCGTACTACATATGTACGTACGCACTACAAATATGAATTTGTGTTGTTGTTGTCCATTTTGTTCACACGCCTGCCAGTGGACATCAGCAGCACATGTCTGCTGCCAACATATGCCGGTCATTGAGGCCTGTTTCTATAAATAAATTCTACGTAAGTCTGAGGGCGATCGTGAAAGGAAACGAACAAAGAATTTCCTAGACATATGTACATACATACACACAGTGCTCCTCGCACCTTCTCGATATGTAATGTGTCGCGGGTGGAGAGTGTGGTATGAAGAGCACCAAGAGCAAAGACCTTGACTGTGATTTTGTGTTTGTTAAATGTAAGCATAATAGGCATGCTAATGCTATCATTAGGCACGTGTGTACACATACATATATTTAATATGCAATTTTCTTTATTCTAACTAATTTAATGTAATTTGAAGAGAACTAATAATAATCGGCCTAAAATAATTCTTAAGATGCACA